GAAAGACCCTCTCAAACTCCTTGGACTCTTGGTTGTTTCAGACTCACACTACTGAAAGCCGCCAAGCTCCTTGCAGCGAGTCCTAGACAACACGTATTCCAAGATGCAAAAGTGCCGGCTTCTGCATTTTGGAGCGATGAGCAGAACCGGGCAACCGAAATGGCTTCTTCTCAAGTTGACTTCAAGGTAGTGTTTCAAGGTATTGGCTCCCGACTTCTGGAAGTCACAGAGTTCGACAGGACAGCTTCGCTTAGCGTAACAAGTATGCAGGCTAGGCGCGCGCTAGCCGCAAAAGGCGGTCCTTTTCCTGCTCGAAGCCAAGTTCGCATCAAGGCCTAAATGCCGCGGGTTCCAAGCACACGCATGCTTACACGATCAGGTCTCACCGCTACCGGCATCTGCTTTCACATCGATGCTACTTTCTTTTGAAGACCTGAAGATCGTGATAAGCACGGCTGCTTCCCGGTCTAGGCTCTTCGGAAAACACTGTGCGGCTGGTCCCGCTCTAAGATCCTCCACGTGCCTCTGCCCTGACTGTCATGGAAGAGCCCATACGTCGTGCCCGCCTCCAATCGGTATCGGACCGTCAGCTGGCACTTGCCTCCTCCTCGACGCCATCAGCGCCTTCCACGTTCGTCTTTCCACACCCTCTTCCCCGACTACAGGCACGAATGCGTCCTCCGCATTTACACCGAAGACTCCTGGCCTAATCCTATGACGGAAGGATTCATCACTCAGGTGCACACACCACAGCAATCCGCGCTGCGGCGGACAGTCCTCAAGTGATTCGCTAGAGGCAGCCGACATCGGAGAAAGGGTACAAGAATCAGAGGTCGATGAAGAGTTATCGCTTCTCGGATCCGGCTCCCATCTATCCTGACACACCGCATTCAGCTCTAGGGATCTCTAGGGCACATTCTGACCCGGCAGCTTCTGATACCACCGGCTCGTTATCCAACTCATACCAGACCAACTCCTCTGGAAATCGTTGAACGGTCGATTTGCCCCGGGCCGTTCGGGTGCCAGAACCAGCACTCTGTACTTCGGGAATCCCGTGTCAATCTCCGTAGCCACAAGAAATCCCGGCTCATGTACGCAAGTGCGACGATTCCAAGCTGAAACCACTTGTGCCGCAATCATCCCTTGATCCGCATACATCTCCGACGACACCCCTTCGAGCCAGCCCTCATACCAGATCTCAAGATTGCTCTCATTGAGACTGATCCACAAGTCAGCTTCGAAGTCCTGGCGTTCTCGATCCAGCCTCTCCGCGTTAGCAAGTAGCCCGTCATACCAAACGGATGCCGCTGCCACAAACGGTACTGATCAAGCGTCAGCTCACACATCCACAGTGGCCACGAAGGTGTTTGGCGATGCGGAAACGGATTACAGCTAGGGGGACCAGACATGATCATTCCAGCAAATGACGACACAACTGACGCTGACGCTGCCTTCGCTGGTGCCTTCGGCTTAGCCTTGGCACCTCCCTTTGCATTTGCCTTCTGGGCTTCAGCTCCGATGAGTGCCTGAGTTCCCTTAGCCTGGTTTCCTTGCGGGTCAGCACGGCTGGCTCCTGATGGTCCCTCATGCACATACGGACAAAAATCACCTAATCTACACCCGGACTTACGTGGATGGAAGATGCATTTTCGCTTTGGCTGGTCCTTCCCACCGGGCTTATCGGGCTTAGCCTTACCCTTAGGGGCTCCCTTAGGGGGGTTTGGGTTTCCAGCGCTTGTTGGCTTCCCCTTCCCATCGGCTTTACCCTTACCCTTCCCTTCTCCCTTAGGCTGCCCCTTCTCCCCAGACTTCCCCTGATTGATAACAGCATCACTGCTGGACGACAGGTTTTCCTTAGTCATCTCATCAGCAGTGATCTGTCGCAACTCCTGTTCGACGGCATCAAGCATCATTACAACGCCCTGAGGTCTCGCAAGTTGGATGTCAGGATTGAGGCGAACGAGAGAAAGCCGGGTTCGGATACCATCATGTTTTCGTTTTTAGCATCGTTTGGATTCCACCGATCTGTTCATAAGCAGGGATTTCGGGAAGTTTCAATGAAGCTATGCGATTCTTTGCGAGTCGCCACCGCCTCAACAATTCGATCGCCTCACGTGCCGTGCCCACGGGACTGATCTGGCGCATGAACTTCACAAGTGTCTGTTGCTCTTCAATCCCTCCCGGGCGCACACACAAATAAAGCTCCCCAAGCAATCTCAAGGAATCTATTCCCTTTTCACCCTCATCTGCCTCCAAAGCCGGTGTCTTAAGCTTGCAAATCATGCCTCTCTGGAGCGTGCTTGAAGCACAGCTGGATGTAAACAGCGAATTTGGAATGCACAGACGATGCCAAAGTAAGGACTTGTTTTTTTCCAAACATCAAACCTAAGACCCAACTCCCAAGGCGTACCAGCCCCTTCTCTAGGATCAAAGCTCGGCACGTCTAGCAAACACTTCCAACGCTCATTAGGAATGTTACTCGCATCATCGGTTTTCGTAGCGGTGTCCAGTGCAGACCCCTCCACTGGGGGAACAACAGTCGTCGTTCCCACACCAGCTCCTTCAGATATCTCTGCAAGGCCTGGGTTCGCCTCTGCATCAGTCTCTGCATGAGGCTCTGGCTATCTGAAAGAACTGGGTGTTCGCGTGACTATTCGAAGGAGTCTGAACATGTCCAGCAGTCATGTCGGTTGGAAGTCCGGGCGGAGCCTCAAAAGAAGGCTAGAAGGCCACTGCATTCCAGCCTCATGTGGCCACTCCGGCCACTCCCATTGAGGCCCCAGCCTCCCTGTGAAATGATTTGGCTGCTGAGTCGATCCCAACTGAGTCAACACTTGCTCATGTCTAACCTGAAGCTCCGACAACTCCATTTCCAATGCCTGGACCTGTGTTTGTGAAGATTTCGAACCCTGAACAGCTTTGCGCGCTATGCCGTCAAGTTCATCTACACGGCCGGCCAGTGTCTCCAGGGCTGCACGGGTCGCCGGATCAACCTTGCCCACAGCTGAAGTGCATGCTTGATATACCGTCTCTGACCTTTCATCATTTCGGCGCTGTCTGTCATGCATTTCCGTGAGATTTGCCTCAATCTTAGCTATGTGAGCTTCTGATTCTACTTGGGCTTGCCACTGTACCGTGCCCAGTTTGGCACCTTCTAATGACGAAACCCTGTGTTGAAGATCCTCCCTAGCATCGGCCAGGTGAGTTCGTGCTTCAACCAACTCGCTGCGCAAACCCTGATTCTCAGCGATGAGATTGTGCAATTCCAAGAACATTATAGTCCGGTATTGCATGCGATCGTGGAGCTCCACAACCGCAGAACGAAGATCCTCAAGGATTGACGCATCAAGCACACTTGCTTGCGCAAACTGCTCTAGCACCTGAACTGGAACGCCTAGGCACGTAGCTTGCATCAGCGTAGCAGTTGGGGTGCTATTTAAGCTGCTATTTGGGCTCATAACCTGTTGCTGATTTGGCAATACATCCAGTGTTCTAGGGTCTTGCACCGCAGTAGGACTGGAATCGGATATAACGGAATAGTGACTTGGTATGGGAGATAGAAGGTTAAGCGTAGGAACCTGCTGCTCCATGACTTCGTTCGATCTTCAAGAATCTCAGACGACAACCGGAATTAAGGAAATAACTAAACCACCACAAAGCTGATCGAAGCACCTGGTGCGTAGATCGGAATCTGAAGATAAGAACGCGTGAAGGTTCGGTGCAACTTGATGAGAGGCCTCCACGGCCCCTCAGAGATGCATAATGAAGGATGGCAGATCGCACACGGAATCTGTTGCAGGAAATCCCAATCCCACAACGGTCCCCGAACTACAAACCCTTCTTTCTCCCTCATCGTCGGCTGCAAGAGCCGATGCCACTGTTTCCACTTGAGCCAGCATATGACTGACATGCATGCGCAGACGAGTTGCCTACTGCTACTCTGCACTCTACCACTTTACGTCCTGCCCCGTAGGATTCCTTCTTTTGGTCTTTCTTGTTACGAGGTCTTCTTTTACTCTTGTCGGCCAGTGCCCAATCTAGCATTTAGAAGCCTATGCACACACAGCAACGTCAGAGCCAAAATGTGTGTGCATGCAGGAAGAACATGTGGTCAAAATGAGTGGTCTGCGATACTTAATTCAAAGTTACAAAGATTTGACATAGCATGGCCATGACACGACATGCATCACGAGCACATGCCAACACCACATGAAATCCGGGGTTTCACAAACAGATACCACCTTGACCACGGCTCTACGAAGCTGCTCACCGAAGTTCAAACTATCACGAAAACGTCCGAAAGTGCGGCGCCATCATGAAAACTAGCCTCCCGACCGAGGCCATCGCCCTGGTTGTCGTTGTTGCTCTCTTGTAGCCAGCTGCTAGGGATTTGAAGGTGACGCCCCCCCACTCATTTCTAGATGTTGTTGTTCAGAGAGTTGGGGGCCAGAGCCGGCGCCATCCGGGGCTGGCTCTCAACTATCTCCCACTCTTGGTCTCGATTGGCAGCATCCACCACTTCTTGCACCGCGCTATCCCACTCACCAGAGCCAGCTGCTCCATCGGAGAGGCCCGCCGAACATGCTCCAAGGCCACCTTTGTCAGGGTCCCACGGGCCGTCACGTTTCAGTTGTTGCCCGTTCACGCAACCCCACCATCCAGAATGCGCCGGCCGTCGGTGACCTTGTCTACTCCTGGCGGCAGCAAAAGTACAATCGCTGTGGCAATCAAAACCATAGGCGACTCCTTCGTCTGCCCACAGCCGCTTGCATCGGAGAGAAGCTGGTGTCGCCGATGTCCATATTGTAGGCGGCTCATCATCATCTCGTCGTAGCCCATCAAGGGCTGAGCCGCCGTGCAAGCTGCCAAGAGCGATTTGAAAATGCGCCCATGTTGCCAGGGAGCTTGCACCCCGATGTGGTAAAGGTGCACCGAGCTCTCACTTGCAAACTCCTCCAGGGCACGTGACACAAACTCAAGCCCTTGATCACACACCAAGGTCCTCGGCATGCCAAACACAGGAGCCCAGCACTCACGAAGAAATCGAACCACCTCCTGTGTAGACTTCTTGTCCACAATCACAGCCATCTTGAAACGAGTCACGGCATCGACGGCATGGAGGACCGACTAGCGAACCCCAGCGGCGTCGAAGCTGTCAAAGATGTCCACGGCCACCTGGTCCGCCAAGTTCTCGAATTCTCGAAGTCCCGGAAGAGAGGCAGACCTTTGCACCTTCAGGGGCTGCACCGCAACTGCTTCGCAGCAATCACCACCTCCATCGGGGCACCTGCGATCACCAAGTCTCGGGCCAGCCGCTGGGGACTGCGATGTCCAGTGTTCTCGCGCAATCTCCGAACAGCCTGGGTGGGGATCACCACATCGGATTTCAGTTGGGCCTCGTTCGCCTGAATCCTCGGCCTCCGTGTCCGAGCCGTCCGGGCCCACAATTCCTGCTCATCCGCCGCCGTCTCGGTCGCCATGACCTCACTGTGCCGCTGTGCTGGCATCGTCTTCAAACTGCAACTCCACGGCCCGCACCAGCTTATCCATGAACTTCGGAAGACTCCTTCGAGAAGTTGGGGCCCACATGCCGCCGGAAAGCATCGGCCACCCGAGGTCAAATAGCGATATCCACCTCGAGAAAAATCAATCACCCTCGGCTCATCGGGTTTAGCTCCACGAGCCATTTCCACGAGAAAGTGTCGGCCGGAGCGACGGTGAACAAGGGCCTGCCGATACATGTGGACACCTGTGTCTAATGGCCCTTGCGCTGCACTGCCTCGGCCGCGTAGGTGCTCAAACTTGGCAACACAGGGGTCGGCCACTGTCCTGCAACGGCAACAAACCTCGGCCACAGGGCCTCATTCAGTCGCCGGGGTCACTCGAAGCAGCCACGGCCTTTTCGGTATTTCCGCCACGCCTGCGCGATCACTAGCCGTTGGTCTGGAAGCCCATGTCGCTGTCTGGCGACAGGGGACCGTCCCCACGCTGCTGGGTCACCATGGTCATCGCGTGTGGCAGGGCCTGTGTCAATCGCCTCCATTTTGCATCATATTGTTGACTTGTGCCAGCAGCTCTGCCGCAAACCCCGAGCTTTGCTCGAGCGACATCGGTCCACCTGTCCGTACCCGAGCTGGTACCGGTAGTCCTGCGGAAGCCGCCGGAGAAGAAGTCGAGGTCGCCGGTGCCGAGGTCGTAGCGGTAGTCGCCGGAACGCCACGGAGTGTGTTTGTCCACGGACGAACATGAAGCAAGGTTGCGAGGTCCGCCTTGAGTGTCGGAAGGCCTCCTTTGGGTCCAAAGAGCGAACGTGCTGCCTGAAGAGCCTCGCCACTTGCCCGCTTTTCCTCGGCCTCCTTCTTGACCTTGTCCACCGGCTGGCCTTGTATCGCCGCTCGTGCGCCCTTGGTTTGCCGGGCTGCCAGCATTGAATCCAGCATGAGGTCCTCGAGGAATGCCAGCCTGATGCCCAATCGGTCCCGCAAGTACCGGCTTCCTTCATGCCCAGGTCCTCGAACTTGTTGGCCAACATGGCTGATCGGAAATGACGCCTTGGGAAAGCGCCACCCCGAACCATCGTCTCGGCCTGCTCCTTCCACTGCTGGGGCTTCTGACGTTGCTGTAGGGGAGTGGAACAAACCGCAAGGACGGACACTGCAGCAGCCAATGCAGTAACCCAGCGAAGCGCCACGCACTTGTTTCCAACACTCGCAACACCATTCTTCAGAGCGGGCCCACCACTCGCTCTCCTCTGCTTAGGTCCAGCCGCTGCATGACGTGGGGCTCGGACCGGCTGAACGGTCATCAAATTTCAAGGTCTCGAACCACTGCCCGACCTTGCTCAACAACCAAAGGTTCATGCTCACGTCCGGGCACATGCGCACTCTTGACAGCCGCTGCACAACGTAGGCTCCACTCAGAAGGACTCAGCTGCACCTCCAAAAGCCCGCCCTGGCCTTCGCGTGTCCATGATCGCCCGGCCAGGGTGCTCCAAGCCGAAGGGAACACAATCTGCCCTAACAGCTCGTCTGGTAAAGCTGATCACCCCACCGATGGCCTCCAAGAAGTCCGGGCCCAGGAGAAGGCCCAAGCATTCAGCCCGCACCACACTTGTGCAAACCAACACGCAGGCACTCCCAATCACCATCGGCAAACGGTAACGAGAGTAGCTGGCCTTGACACCGTCATTCCCGAACCTGAAGGTCTCCTTCTTAAACTCGGTCATCACAAGCTTGGTCAAGCCCTCCGCGTTAAGGGAGGACCGAAGTTCTTTAAGGTAACTGTCCAACCAGCGCTGACCACAAGCTGTGCTGTTGCATGCACTGTCGAGGGCTGCACTTCGTTTGCCCGGCTCGCTTCGAGGGCCTCTGCAAAGGACTCCCAGGTAGAGACCACATTGACCACGTGGGTGCCGTCTCCACCGTGCCCTCGAGTTCTTCGTGAACGCTTTGCCCTCTTGCTCTACCTGCTCCGGCTCTGCAGCCAAACCCTCAGCTTCAGCCTCCAGAGCAGCTCCTCGTCCTCGCCGTCGCCACTGTCCTGCTCTTGGTCATACTCCGTGGCCTGCATGGACCGTTGCTGAAACCCAAAACGGCGAGGCGCAAAGCCACCAAACCGGTGGGGTCGTCGAGGGAGCGTAAGTGCCGCGGCCCACCGAGGATCCCGAGCTGAAGGAAGAGCCCGTGCCACGGCCGCTGGCACCCACGAACTCGCCGTTCGGGAGGCCACCTTCTTAGAGCACACTGACAAAGCACTGGCCCCAAGGAGGAGGTAAAAGAGGATGAAGAGAAAGGCAGCAAAAAAAAGTGGTGGAATCAACGGGATCTTTTCAGGCTCCGGCGCCACTATGCAGGCTAGGCGCACGCTAGCAACAAAAGGCGCTCCTGTTCCTGCCCGAAGCCAAGTTCGGATCAAGGCCTACAAGCCCCGGGTTCCAAGCACACGCATGCTTACACGATCAGGTCTCTCCGCTACCGGCATCTGCTTTCACAAGAAGCAACGTAAAGACACTACCTTGAAATCAATTTGAGAGGAGGGCCGCGAAAGTTAGGGAACGGAAGCGTAGCAGGGGACGTGGGGCGACTTGTCAGCGATGTGCTCAAAAACGTCGAGACAACCCACTGTCTCTGCTAAAAGCACTTGCAAAGGAAAGCTGGTTGGCATGCGCCAGCCCGAAATGCCGATACACCTCACACACAACCCCAAACGGGCGCCTCAAAAGTCCCAACACGCGGCTGCGTGTGCAACCACAAGGTTCGCTATGGATCACCATGCAGAAATGGGACTTGTCAGAAAGTGTAGTAGCAGATGCGTAATAAGAATTGTAAACGACAACTCCCCCAAACTCCACAGAGCTAGCTGTCGTGACAGCATTGACAGTTGGAAGCTATCCATTATAGCTGATAAAGTCCAAAGCAGCAGCCCTGCTGACGTCTATGCGGCGCACACAAGTTCGGCTCGCCAACTCAGTCGCGATGCAATTTAATCAGGCTTATCAGGCTTGAGAGTTTAACCTCCTTCGCCAAAATGCCCTGAGGATTCATGTGCTCGACTGCTCGACTTGCGACAGCCGTCTCGAAATCCTTGCCGTGCTGTGAGTGCGAGCTTCTGACTTGGAGACCCGCAAGTCCGCCCCGAAAGTCCCAAAAGAAGCGTCGCTCAAAGGCGATCTGTCGAGGGTGAGCCTAGCGCAAGCCACGTGGCCTGGAGCAGCTTCTCCGCCGCTTCCATTATCGCCTGCCTGGCCTCTGCCTGGGATTTTCCGAAGAAGATCGAATCCGTCACGCTCCGTCACGCACCTCGTCATCTTTAGCTCTCTCCTGCAGCTCTTCCCATGCCTAGGCCATGAAGCGTCTTGATGCAGGTTGCAAGTGACATCATGCAAAAACTCCACGAAAGAACCTTGTGCTTTTGCTCGAACTCTTTCTCGAAAGCCTGCACTTCTGTGGAAAGTTGCTATCTGAAGCTCGCATAAATCTAAAATCAACACCTCCTCCTGCGCTTGAATCCGCTCCTGCTCAGCCTGCCACAAGCATTTGCTGGCATCCACCTCCAACACGACTGCTCCAATTGCCAACTCACCTGCCTGATCTGCCCTATTCAAGCTGTTGGACACGCTTTTCGAGTCCTGGACATCGACAGTATTCGACAGTTGCAGATCGGTACACCTTAGGCTTGTTCTCTAAGAAGAGTCCTGCATCAGCTCTTGCTCTGTCCTCTCCTGCATTGCAGCCGTGACATTTCTTTTCGACCTGCCTCGTTCCAGCTCCCTCCCAGTCCTCCTGACGGAAGTCCCGCATCCAGCTTTGAGCCTTGGGGCTACCTTGCGCGAGAGAGCAAAAGGCCTAATTATTTCATTCTCTGTGTCCTGGCCGATGCCTTGGCCGGCTGACTTGTTGCTAAGGTGGCTGCTGCTCACATTCTGCCTTGCATGCTTGCGTGGATCAACACACTGAAGAGGGATGTGCCTTGCGTCCGATGCCACCTCTCTGGCTGCCAAGAACGCCCATCTACCGATCGCTGCGCAGCGACCACACCTCACAGCACCACTGCCTAGATCCTGTATCGCTGTCACTGCATAGCAGCATACCAGGTTTTAATCGTGACGTAGGATTGATTGGATGGGATTGGAGCAATGCGGAAACGGCCCGGCTAAATTCCGACAACTATGTCAACAACGCCAATGCAAAGTCAAGTGCAGCCAAGTTGGAGGCCTGGAATGACGCCCTCCTGTGCAGCCTGCTCCATCTCCGCGCTGAAGAAATCAAAAAACCTCAAATTGACAAATGCCCTTGCATTGGCATGATGTTGGATGTCTTTCCCGTGCAGATTTCACTGAGGCAATCCGAGGCATCAGGCTCCTCCCAGGTCACTTCTCGATTGTCATCCCGGTCCATGGCCTGAAACCTGTCTGTACTTAAAAAGACCCAGCTCGCCCAAACACACACGCGAGCCTTGCTTCGAGCAAATCCCTCGTGCCGCCCTCCTGGCAAATCACAGGGTAAGGCAAAACTTGGACTGCTTTGTTCCGGAGGGCCTGCTTGACACCAGTGGGGAAGCCCAAAGACGCAGCAAGCTCTGGACCTGATGAACTAATATGGTCACGGGTATTCACGCGTCCAAGCTACAACGCGACTCGCCGAGGGGAAAACTTGCGCGACAGAATTTGATCATCTCACGCCTGCTTGCAGCACTGTGGGCATTTAAGTCACACAACCCGCCGCTATTCTCTACACATACTCAGCAGACTCTTTCGAGCTCTCCCTCGCTGTGGCGTCAACTAGGCCAAGGTATCCATAGCATATTCTAGGTCAGCAAGCCCTCAGCACCAGGCTTGTTGATTCGGCCGTCGCCTAGAATCGCCCACCAGACACGGTAGCGCGGCGAGCATCCACAGGGTGATCATAGTGGTGATCATGCATGGTGAGCGAATACGAGCCAGCAAGTCCATTGACATCCACTGACTGGAAGATCCGTCTCAATGTAGCCTGCAAGTCATCAGCTGCTGTCATGCGAGTCCTAAACACACCATCACGGGAGCCTCCGCGCTTTCGGACAAGCTACTGCTCCGCCTCGGCCATGTGACGTGGAAGCACAGTTGAAGAGTAGTAAAAGCAGCTAGGACAGCATACAAGACTTGCTCTCTCGGAGGCCCAGATCGGAAGGATTAGTCAGCACGGCGTTTCCATGACCCTTTTGAATCCTTTTGACTGGGGTACGTCCACATCGGCAACGCGATCTCCGCGTCGCAAGGTCAAGTCTCGCTTTTTGTTGACAGCTCTGGCGATGTCTCACACTTCCCTTATGCTGCCATTGGCATTCGGAGTCCATTTTGTCTGAGATGGCCCAGTCCTGATTGCAGGAGATTCGCCCAGTTCTGCTTTGCGCTGCATAATGATTCCATTCGACAAGCGAATTATCCATCTACGGAATGCCATCAATGCTTGCGACTGTCTCTTTGATTGTTCCGGCTGTGGTCCCGAACAGGGTTATGATGATTCAGAAACGATGCCCAAAACAACACGGGGAGGGGAGTGAGGGGTGAGAGAACAAGAGAAAGAGAGAAAGAGAGACAGAGGGAGGGAGAGAGTAAGGGCAGGGGGCAGAGGGAGACGGAGGGAGGG